TCAGTTATCAAATTGCTATTTATCTCCAAACTGTAATTTATCTGACAATCAGCTTCCCAAGCCTACAAGCTTGGAATAGTTACTAACAGCCTATCAGTTATGAAATACTTTTCCTCACTTGACATGAATACCTATTCGTCTATTTGTCATGAATTGTTACGAAACTGTCACACACACACACATACACACATACAAACACACACACACACACACACACACACACACACACACACACACACACACATACACACACACACACACACACACACACACACACACACACACACACACACACACACACACACACACACACACACACACACACTCACACACACACACACACACACACACACACACACACACACACACACATACACACACACACACACACACACACACACACACACACACACACACATTATATATATGTGCATCTATGTAAATGTATATAATATATATATATATATATATATATATATATATATATATATATATATATAGAGAGAGAGAGAGAGAGAGAGAGAGAGAGAGAGAGAGAGAGAGAGAGAGAGAGAGAGAGAGAGAGAGAGAGAGAGAGAGAGAGAGAAGAGAGAGAGAGAGAGAGAGAGAGAGAGAGAGAGAGAGAGAGAGAGAGAGAGAGAGAGAGAGAGAGAGAGAGAGAGAGAGAGAGAGAGAGAGAGAGAGAGAGAGAGAGAGAGAGAGAGAGAGAAGGCTGGGGAATGAGAGAGAATGATTGTTCTTTATGATTTTGTCTATGATTTGTACTTATGCCACATCTCAAGGTTAATGCTGGTAATAGATCAAATATCTACATCGTTTTGACTATATGATGATAATCGATGGCAGTATCTGTTAAACCAGACATTACAATAAATCTTACTCCTGTAATGGCATAGTATTATATATCTTATATATTTAACTATAACTTGGGCAACCGATGTTGTCATTGCATTAGCTATGAAGGCGCGCGAAGCGACTTGTATTTTCGAATAGGAAATGGTTGAAACTGTGTGGGAAATTTACCAATTAATGGTTGGCAATAAAACAGAATGGGCCTCCAAAGTCAATTTGTCATTACTGGTGTGTAATGATCTTCATCTCTCTTGACTCGGCAAAATGTCTTTTACAGGCAGTCTTTGTCTCGGGTGAAGTTTGGGACAGGCGAGGAAGTGTCCTTCGCGCGCAAGGACTGTCTGTTAAACTACAATGCACATTTACACAAATCTGAAGATAATTCTTTATCGTATATGATTGGAAAAACTGGGAAGCCCTTTGCATTTATTGTCAAACGTTGATTGAATCGTTTCCTACATTTTACTGGTATTTCATATCCACGACTGTGAGGACTGTCTATTTTTTTTCTTTAATTTGTCTTTATGCTGTTTTTTCTCTGTTGGAGATTATTCCACTTGGAAATGTTAAGAAAAGCTTCAAGGCCTCTTCTAATAAAACGTCAAACGTTAATTGAGCCGTCTCTTGCATTTTCAGCGCTATATTTTATTTTAAAAAATACGAATATTGTCACCTGCCTTTACATCTGATGCAATGACAATAAACATTGGGATGCCACATTTAGATAAACTAAATGTGTAATATTACCGTTATCATAAAAGCAAGATGTATTGCCATGTTTACCTTATACCGCGTTATTGCACTAAATTATCAAAAGGAGTCTATAAAGATGTAAATGCTTGTTCTACCCAGCAGTAATAACTTGGAGATGTGGCAATGGGGCGAAACAGACAGACTCGCAAGGGACAGTCACCGACCTCTCGTGAGTGCCGCCCTGATCCCGGATACGAGGCGAAGGAAGGAGGGATGATACTCAGGATAATAAGGCAGGGGAAGAGGAAGCGGAGGAGTGAGGCAACAGTAACGAAGCAATGTTAAGGGGAGAGCGATAAGAAGCTTTGAGAAATAAGATTTGAAAAAAAAACGAAAGAGACAGAGAGAGGTAGAAAGTGACACAGAGAGAAACTGAACGAGAGAGAGAGATAGATAGATAGATAGATAGATAGAGAGATAGAGAGAGAGAGAGAGAGAGAGAGAGAGAGAGAGAGAGAGAGAGAGAGAGAGAGAGAGAGAGTAAGATATAATCTTCGTTCCCTAATTTTGACATATATGCATAATTTGCATCCTGAATATGGAAATGGCGATCGCTGGATAAATGGCATTCAGCGTTTTGGAGAAAGGAGGACACAGAGAAAGAGGAGAAAAGATAAAGTAGGATAAGAAAAAAGAAGAGACTGCGATGAATAGATGGTTTGGGAGGGTGGGCGTGTGTGTGTGTGTGTACATACATATATATAATACATATAAACATGCATGCATATACATACATCGCAGATAAAATACAAGAGGCGAGCTAATGATGGCAGATGAGGTGAGGAGAAAGACCGCGGGGACGAGAGAGCGAGGCAAGGAAATGCTAAGAACTGTAATGAACGCGTCATTGCGTAATAAGAATGTATAGCCTGTGGTAATCTCTCACCTCACTAAC